CCCCCCCCCCCCCCCCTTTGGAGTCAGTCCTGCTACACGTTGGCTGTTTTTTCTGGAAAGTTACTCCCGGAGCCCCCTCCTTCCTGCTACCCCAGGCCCGGGGGCGCGCAGGCCAGCTGTCAGTCTGCGCGGTGCGGGCCCAGCGCTCTTCTCAGCCCGCGTCCCGGATCGTCCCCAGGCCAGGCCGGGGACACCCGCGAGGTCAGCACGGGGAACCCGGCCACTCTGGCTTGGGTGACGCCAGCCTGCGAACGGGGCCCGAGGGTGGGACTGGGCTCGGCGATCCTGGCTGCGTTTCTTCATTGACAAGCCTGGAGCCGGGCAGGGCTGGCCGGAGCTTGGAGATGCTCCAGGGGCCGGGGAGAAAAATGGTGGCGCGTTCCAGAAGACCGAGGGTGCCCTCTGGCGAGGCCCGGCCGTCAGTGAAGGAGAGCCCCGGTGGGGGCTGAGCCGGGCTGCGGAGACTGCGGGCAAAGCAGGACCCAGCATCCCGAGGATCGCCCCCCTCCGCTCCACGTGCGGATGAGGCTGCCCTCGCTTCCCGGCCTCTGGGAGCCGCGATGGCATCCAGATGTTCGCGGCTTCCGCGCCCGCCGCGCTCTGCGCGCAAAGTCAGCAATTGGCCCAAACCCATTTCCCAGATGGGTGAGGGGAAGCTTGTGCTAGGCTTTGGCTCCTCGAGGTTTTTTTTTTTTTCTTCCCCCACGAGCAGCCTGGGGAAGGCCAGACAAGTTACCGTCTTTCTGGATACAGGACTTGTGTCTGAGTTGATGACGTTCTTCATGTTAGTGCCGTCTTTCCGTGTCTCATCGCAGCCTTCTTGGGCCTTTGCTGAGAGCTCTAATGGAAGGACTGTATCTCCAGGTCACAATTGAGGAAACTGAGGCACAGCTTGTTTGTTTTGTTTTCAAGTCATGCTGCTTGTGAGTAGTGGAGGTGATATCTAACACAAGCTAATTTGGATAGGCATTATTTTCACTTCGGTAACTCCGAGGAAATGTAGGTATTGACTTCCTTAAATAAAGTCACATAACTCTTTGATGTCAACGCTGGCATGTGAACCCAGGAAGTCCATTGCCAGTGTCTGTACTTTTGACCATAATGCTATATTGCTTCTGGAATTTGAAAAATAGTTTTTAATGATTTAATTTTATTTTCCTTAATTATGTATCTGTATGTATGCCAGTACCAGCAGAGTCTCACACACACACACACACACACACACACACACACACACACCCAGGGTGCAGTTTCAGGCGGTCTGTGAGCTGCCCATCTTGGGTGCTGGGAACCGAAGTGGGGTTCTCTGCAAGAACAGTATACACTCCTAATTGCAGAGCCATCTCTCCAGCCCTGAGAAATAGTTTTGGTGTTTACTCTATGCCCAGCACTGTTTTAGGAGTTGTGAATAAGTCAGTGAACAAAACACAAAACTTGCTTTTATGGACCTTACATTTTGGAAGGGGGATAAGAGACATGAGCCATGGTGGAAAATGGAGCAGAGGAGAGTGGGGAGCCTGGGTTGGGGGGGGTGTTGAAATTTCAAATAGGATGATCAGAAAGCCCTACTGAGGACTCTGAGCTAATGGGAGGGGAAATTATTGACAGTATTTTCTTCTGGGGTATAAAGATTCTACCTCAATGTTTTGAGATGGGGCCCTGGCAGCTGTATTTTTTAATTCATCTCTCAAATGATTCAGGTGCTCAAGTAAGGTTTGCTAGCTCCTGCTGTAGGAGTTCCATTCACCCTTTGTTTTCCCAGAGTTGGGGAAGAAGTGGGCGGGAGTTTACAAGAAATGGAAAAATCCAAACATTAATCCTTCTTTGTGCATCTGGTGCCAAAGGAGAACAAGGGAGTCGTTGAAACCTCTTAGCTGTCTTAGATTTTGGCAATGATTGTTCCTTTAGATTAAAATCTAACCTAATATTCTCACTGAGAAACAGAGTTGGTAAGGATCTTAGAGGCAATCTCTAAAAGTCTTTACAAGGGAGGAAATTGATGAGGTCCAGAGATGGCTTCTGCCCTGGCTGCACAGATAGTTATTCGCAGAGCTCCTCTGACATGCAGGCCAGTGCTCTTGCTACCCAGTAAACTGTGGAATGAATGACTGAAGTTGCTGGGGACTTACTTCAGTAATGTGTGTCATCCAGTTTGTCAATCCTCCTACTTCCAAGACCTTGTTTTTGGCCTATGACCACCCATATCCCATGAGCCCATCTCCTGTGGGTCCTAGTGACTAATGCCCAGAACTGACCAGAGATGTTGATTTAGGGGTCTTATATGAAATATGAGTCAATGAAGACTCAATTCCACTACTCCATCAGACTGGGAACTCATGAGACATTGCCCTCTGCCAGCCTAGAAGAATGGTTAGCAACCATTAGTATGTGCTGGAGAAGAATACTCCAGTAACATGTGGTGTTACAAGGGCCCTGGCTCTACCACCTAGTATTCAGGTTATTTTCCTTAAGCTATCTTTGTGCCTTTATCTCTTCTGCTGTTGATTAGAGATGTTATTGCTTCTCACTTTTGGGGACTGTTCAGATTAAATAAGATACCAAATATTTATATACCTTTTTCCTTTGAAAAAGGGTCTCACTATGTTGTCTAGGATGGCCTTCAATTCTACCTGTGTCAGACTCCTGAGCAGTAACTGGGATTATGGCCACTGTCACCTTGCCTGGTTATATTTATGCTTTCAAAAGTTACTACTATTGGGTGTGGTGGCACATGCCTTTGATCCCAGCATTTGGGAGGCAGAGGCAGGTGGATCTCTGTGAGTTCAAGGCCACCCTGGCCTACATAGTGAGTTCCAGGCCAGCTGGGGCTACAGGGAGACCCTGTCTCAAAAAGACAAGAAAGAAAGAAAGAAAGAAAGAAAGAAAGAAAGAAAGAAAGAAAGCTATTACGACTCAGGTGTTGGATTTTTATTATATTTATCCATTTTTTTGTCTTTTTTTTTTTGAGACAGTGTCTCCTTATAGTCCCAGCTGTCCTGGAACTCACTATGTAGACCAGGCTGGCCTTGAACTCACAAAGATCTGCCTACCTCTGCCTCCCAAGTGCTGGGATTAAAGGCATGCGCCACCATGCCTGGCTCATTTATTTTTACTTTATGTGTATAAGTGTTTTTCTGACAAGTGCACCCCTGTTATGCAATTTTCACAGAGGCCAGAAGAGAGCATAGGATACCCTGGAACTGGAGGAGTTATTGATAGTTGTTAACTGCCATGTGGATGCTGGGAACTGAGCCTGGAATCTCTGCAAGAGCAGCCAGTGCTCCTAACCAATAAGCCATCTCTCCAGTCCAGCATTAGATATTTTAATAAATATCCAATTAATATTTCAATAAACTTAAAAAAAAACAGTTTCAAGAAGCCCAGCGTCCCCCCACCCACCTCAAACTTACTATGTAGCTTAGGGTGACACTGAATCCCTGACTTTCTTGCCTCTACCTTCCAACCTTCCAAGTGAAAGCATGTGCCACCACATCAGCATTCAATAAGCTTCCTGAAGGCAGAAGCTACATAAAATGCATTTTGTACATCATTATATCTATTTATTACATCAGCTCTTACCTGTCAGATGGAAATAATACCACTTGTGTTGCTCTTTACAATGGTTGTTATCGCTTGAGCAGATAACTGGGAAAGGTCTTCTGTGCATTGCAAACAGGAGGGGTCAGAATAATCACTACTAATCAGCGGTGTTTTGCCTTTAACTGACAAATGTGTTCAAACAGAGCTACAAATGCAGACGGTTCCTAAGGCTGCCCTGTATCCACCATTCCACAGGAGCAGCCTTAGAAGAGTTTTATATCTGCAGGTTTTTATTTTTTTCTCTTTTTCTGCAAGTCAAACAAGCATGGTCTAGTAAAGATCTGATTGAAGGTGAAAGGTGGCACGCAGGCTCCAAGATCCATGGACGCTTGTGGAGGACCCTTTAAATGCTGGCGATGGAGGGCGGGGTCGTCGTCAGGGACGCGGCGGAGATGCTTGGTCTCCAGGAAGTGACGCTAGTGGCCGCGGAGATGGAAGATTTACTGGACCTGGGAGAGGAGCGGCGCCGCAGCTTGGCCACCTCCGTGAGGAGCGATGCGGGGGGGCTCGGGGTCCAGTGCGGCGGGTGGGACGAGCGGCAGGCCGGCCTGGCTCCCTCGGGTGCGGTGGGCTGGCGGCCAGGAGGATCCGGCCCCGGGAGAATCCCGGGAGGATGCGGCCTCGTCCGCGCCACCGCGGCTCGCGTCTGCGCTTGCTACCATCCTGGGGTTTTCGCTCCAGCCTTCTCATCCCAAAGTGCTTGTAGAAGCTGCTTGGTTTATGCCCGGAGGAGTGGCAGCTGGGGTCGCCCGTCTTCCCTGGAATACTCCCCTTTACCTCAACCCCTTTCATCATTGGAAATCGACTCTAGTTTATTACATGGTAATTAGGTGCCCTGAGGCCAGATGGAATATAAAACTGTTGATAGGTTAAAAATATGTAAGTTTTTCCCAGCCTCGGTTTCCTTACTCCTACAAGGGAGATGTGCAGGTGAAATGGGGTAATTCTTGGAAAGCATTTGACACAGTGCCTTGACATTGGCTAATTTATATGACCTCTGTTAGCTGCTTTTGTCTCTCTGGCTGTGATTTACCCCCAGCTGATAACCAGTAGATAATAGATATTGATTAAAGGCCCAAATTTAGTGTTTTCTTTGTCACAGCCCCTATCAGGCCTTGATAACCTTTAGTTAAGATTACTGAAGGATTAGATGATAAGGCAAGTCATTAGTTTCTATTATGAAATTGCAGGTGCTTTGAGGGGCTTTGGTAGCATTGGATGTCCTCCCAGGTACTGGAGAGGCTCCTGTCAGAGGGAGATATGAGTGAGGGGCAGGGACAAATTGGTTGAGAATGAAGCAAGCTTCCAAACTAAGGAGGACATTAGGCCACTAGGCCTTTCTGTCCGTTGCTCTGTTAGTACTTGGGATGTGAACATAGTTATTTATTAATAATTTCCACCAATATTAATTTGAGTCATACGGTCGTAGGTGGTAGAGAAACAACAGGGAATAAAACATCACTGGCCTCGTGTCCTAGTGAGGGAAGATGGACAGTAAATAGACTACTACCCTTACAATACATGATCTTGGATTGTAAAGTGGTTTTCTACCATGTGGATTTATAGGATCTGTAGAAAGTAACATTTATTTGAGAAATTACCTAAAAATAGCATTTACAGACAGGGTCGTTAAATTTTTATTTTAGCACAGCCATGGTAGGCAATGCCAGATGACTAAAGGATAGATGGAAGAGGGTAGTCCTGGGTGAAGAAATAGAATTGTCTGCTTGTAGAAGAAAATAAGCTGCTTGTTATCGAAAGAACGTTTCCATCAACACTGAAATCTAAAACATTGACATTACCATTTGAAGTGTTGATAGTTACAGTTTGAAGTACAAATCGTAGGTAAGAGTTTTTATACAGCTCTCCTGAAACTCTTTTCTTTATCCTTAAAAGACTTAAAACAGGTTTGTTGGCAAAGCCTGGTGGAAAGACCCAAAGTTTGAAATCAGATGTTGTTCAGAGATTTGTATCTGCTACTTATTTGCCTTTCTGGGTTTGGGTTTCTTCACTTATTAAATGGTGTCAGTCGTAGTCCTAGTCTGTGCTGTTGTGAGGATCAAATGAAGTCATATTAAATGAGATTTTTAAATGCTCATGTTACGCTTTTATTTTTCTTTTTTAAAGTAAATGACTCCACACAAGAACACACACACACTTCAACACCCATTAGTGTACCTCAAAAATTTGTTTGTATACTGGGGAGTGTTCTAGACAGAACCCCTCCCCACCAGGAAGGCCTTGGGAACACCTGCAAATGGTTCATCTGATGACTCAGACTCTTGAAGTGCTCTGATTTCAACAGGTGATGTCTCAGCATTCCTGTGGTAGACCTCCCCTCATGCCTGTAGGTGCACATCCAACGAGCAAAGCAAGCCATCTCTGAATTTCTCTGGTGTCAGTTGCCATGGAATTGAGGAATTCTTTCCAAAGCCCATTTGGTAGCTGTTTCAGCTGTGATATAAGCAAGGCCTTCCTCAAACCTTGCTTGGGAACGTGGGGCCCTTTACCACCTACTCTGAGCTATGGCTTGAGATCTCTGCTCAGGCCAGAGGCATTACTGTCTGGTAGAATAGTGACTTTGCTTTTGGATTGCCTTTGGCTGTTAACAGAAAACCTCATGATCATAAACCATATGTTTCTGCCTGTCATACAGAACTGATCTTGGGCACTTTGTTTATATCCAACTCTGCCATTGTTAAATCCTATTCTCTGCCATGCCGTATTAACCCCAGTCCTGACTTGAACCCCGCATTGTCATCCTCATAGTGCCTCAAGTGACATTTGATCAGCTGTGTTCTCTGTCTCTCCTTACAGGGGGCCAAGATGGGTCGCCGTGCTCAACCGGAGTCAACACAGGCTGAAAATTACATCAGTAACAGAAATTCCTCATTGACTCAGACGGGAGAGGTAAGTGGGGAAAACAACAAAACAAAACAAAAAACAAAAAGAAGAAAAACAGAAAAGAAACAAGGAAATGTGGAGAAATGTGCTTTAAGAATGAGTGAATCCTTAATGAGTGGGGATTTGGTATTCTATATTTCTTCTCCTGTGTGTCAGTCTTTCTTCCTGCCTTGATTTAGGAATTCCTTCCTATGACATTTATTCTATTAGCAACACATTAAAGAGAAATGTCTTTTCTTTGAGAACAGACTGGTTTCTTGGTGGTTTTATTTTTTTAATCATATACTTAGTATAGAACTTTTTTTCCTTTTTAGACAAGGTCTCAAGTAGCCCTGACTGGCCTTGAACTCACTACGTAGCTAAGGATGACCTTAAACTTCCACTCTTCCTGCCCCCACCTTAGTGCTGAGATTACAGACGTTTACCACCACATCCCATTGATGAGGTGCTGGGGATCAGACTCTGAGCTTCATACGTGCTCAGCAAGCACTCTACCAATTAAGCTACATTCCCATCTCAGTAGAACTTTTTATGTTACTTGAAACAAGGGATTAGGAAGTTTCAAAATGCAGAAGACAGCTGGGTTTTTATTTTTACTGAATAGCACCAGGGAAGCACACTGCTAGTATAAGACTGGATCACGCAGCTGGACGTTTGCTCTCAGTCATGACCTATTGTTTCTGTGGTTTCCAGGTAGGAAAGGCACATTCTGCTCCTTGCTCTTTGGAAACTTTTCCTAGTGACCCAGAATTGTGGGGAATGATCCAGCTTCTTAAAGAAGGGAGGGTAATCCTCATGAGCAATATGCTCTAATTAATGCTCAGGGTTCACTTGGCCCCTTTTTAACTCTTTCCACTCATTTGAAAAATCCTTGCCTTTCAAGAATCTCCTTATCTTCTGCAGGCTGACCTCTTAGGACTACTTCCTCTGAACCTCATAGTACCTGCTTTAGGACAGGGTGTGAAGGACAATAATTGTCATCTTTTAATGTCTGTCTGCTGCACAAGAAAGAGAGTCTCCAGACAGTAGAAACCCGACTTCTTGGCTGTCTAACTCAAGGGCCCATGGGAAATTTTCAGGAGATGAGGGACCCATGCCATCTACCTGATAGATCTTGTAGGTGTACACAGCATAGATATAGATGCACCACACTTACATATCCAATATATGGGGCTGTCCTCCCTTGTATCATAAATAAGACCCCCCATTTTCTCTGTCTCTGTCTCTCTGTCTCCCTCTCTTTCTCTCTCTCTCTTCTGGTCTTTTTGAGATAGGGTCTCCCTGTAGCCTTATCTGACCTGGCACTCTCTGTGTTGACCAGGCTGACCTCAATCTAACAGAGATTTGCCTGCCTCTGCCTTCTGGGAACCGGGACTAAAAGCATACACCACCACCCCCAGCTAAGGTTCCCATTTTCTTAAACTCTTCATATGGCCCTGTCAGCTCATCATCTTGATGTCTCAGTGATTCCAACACACAAAAACTGGCAAACTACCCTTCCCTCATTGCCCAAAAACCTTAGGGACAACATTAGGGCCTCTTCTAAAAGGACAAGTACCTCAGTGAAGTTGTTTGATGCTGCCAGGATGCAGAATTAGTACTCTGCTGAACTTGGTGGTGCACACCTTTAATCCCAGCACTTGGAAGGCAGAGGCAGGCAGATAATCTGTTGAGTTTGGGGCTAGCCTGGTCCACATAATGAGTTCCAAGTCAGCCTGAGCTACATAGCAAGTCTCTGTCTACAAAAGAGAAGGAGAGGGGGCTAGAGAGATGGCTTAGCAGTTAAGAACACTGGCTGTTCTTGCAGAAGACCCAGGTTCGAATCCCAGCACACACATGGCAGCTAAAAACTGTCCATAACTCCAGTTCCAGGGGATCCGACAGCCTCTTCTGACCTTCTCCGGCATTGCACGACATGGGTGCACTTACCTACATGCAGGCAATACATGCATACACATACAAATAGTAAATAAAATTTTTTTAAAAAGGGGGGGGGAGAGGGACAGGCACAGGAAGAGTGAGAGGGAGAGAAAGAAGAGGGAGTGAGAAAGCAAATGACTAGAATGCTGCCCATTTCACACTGTCCCACTGAGTCTAGGGAGAATTATCCTAACATCAGGCCCTTCCTTTATTCAGCAGATGCTTACTGAAACCTATTATGTGTAAGACATCAGTTTAGATGTTGGTATATTTCAACACACAAAAGACACAAGGTCCTTTGCCATAATGGAATTTGCAGTCCTGTGATCATTGGCAACCAGGAAGACCCGTTAGAAGCCCACTTAGTGCAGAGGTTACAGCAGGTGCAAGGAATGGTTGAGTGAATGAGCTGTGATGGTCCAAGATGTTCAGGAATGCCTTGACCAGCTGAGGTCAGTGGATGCTGTTCTACCTGCACCTTCTTCTCTGGGTTCCTGAGTCATGAGAGTCAGGGACGTGAAAGAACACAACTCCTCAGTCAAAGAGTTGGCTGGACCTTCCAAAGCTTAAGACTTTCAGGAAGATCTGCTTATTTCCTTGCAGACATAAATATACCCGTTGCTGATTCTGAGCCTCAGCATTTTCTAGGAGGACGTGATGCAAAGTCATTCTGATCATGTTTCCACTGGTGCTCCTGGAAGCAAGTTGCCCATTCCAGAATGCCTCCTCCCTTTCCTGGGCTAATTGGGGTTTGAAGCAGTGTGGGTAGCCTCCCACGGTGCCAGATGCTCACTGGGACTTTTTGACTGTTTCTTTCTAAAATTAGATCCAAGACTTGTGTGTGTGCCCATTTACATTCCAGTTCTGAGCTTATTACTTGATATTTTTATCCCCTTGTTGATTTTATTCTCAGTAATGATATCCTTGAAAATGTAAATGTGGTACCTGGGAACTGTCAGACAGGCTGGAATTGCTTTAGAGTTAAGTAGGAATTAGTTTCAAATAAATAGTTATTTTAAAGCAAGGTGGTGGGATTGGGAAGTTGGGGGGAGGGAAGCAGCAAGAACACAGGGCTTGGCATCAGAAACCAGGGCTTGCCACTCGCTCTGCTAATTTCCTGGATCTTAAATCCACTAATCTCTGGAATCCTCCCTCCCATCATTTGTCAAATGGTGATATCAGTACCACAAGATTAATGCAGGGATTAAGTGAGATGTGTATTTAAAAGTACTTTAATAAACTGAAAAGCACTGAATAAGCACTCATTCAATAAATTAGTGAATGAATGAGTTTTTGAATAGCATTTTTCTGTTCCTATTAAAGGACAGCAAAGAAAAAAAAATTCACTGTTCTGGAGTTCTCTAAACCACAGTCGCCTTGCTGGTAAAGCTGGTGTGATAGTTACTTTTCTCACCATTGTGCCGAAATAGCTGACAGAAACAACTTAAGGGAGCAGAGTTTTCCGGCCTCAGAGTTTCCATCCATGATGGCAGAGAAGGCATGGTAGAGTTCACTGAGGCCAAAGCATGTGGTAGAGGCTTCTCACATCTTGGCAGATCTGGAAACAGAAACCTTGGGCTGGAAGCCAGGGTAAACATAACCCTCAATGCATGGCTCATCCCCAGTGGCCCACCTCTACCAACCATGCCTCCTACCTCAAAACTTTTACAACCTCCCAGAACAGTATCACGAGCTGGGGACCTGTGGGAGGCAGGGTAAGAATAACGCAAGGTAAGTCTATTACATATTTCATAGGATGGCTAGAAAGAAAAATGAGACTATCTGTATAAGGCCTTTAACACCACATGGCATATAAATAAATACTCAATATGTTGTAAAGCACTATTTCTCTAGAACTTGTGTGCTCTGTTTTTGTTTGTTTTGCGTGTGTGTGTGTATACACATGCACATGCATGTGGAGGCCAAAGATTAACCTCAAGTGCCGTCCTCTGGAGCCATCCACCTTGTATTTCAAGTCAGAGTCTCTCACTAGGACCTGGAGCTCCCCAGTTACAGTGAATCCCAAGGACCCATCTTTCTCTTTTTGCATGCATCACCAGCTTGTCTTTTACGTGACTGCTGGGATCAAACTCAGGTCTAGAGCAAGCATCTCACCAACTGAACCATCTCTTTACTGCATGTGTTCTTTTTATTCTGCCTTAACCCGTTCTATTGAGGTTTAAAGCTAGCCTTCAGACTGAGGTGAGCCTGCAATTTTTTTTTTTTTTTTTTTTCCTTTTGGTCTTTTTGAGACAGGGTCTCCCTGTAGCTCCAGCTGTCCTGGAACTCACTATGTAGACCAGGCTGGCCTTGAACTCACAGAGATCCGCCTGCCTCTGCCTCCCAAGTGCTGGGATTAAAGGATTGTGCCACCACACCCGGCTAGCCTGCGTATTTTTAAAAGTTTTATTTTTGAGTGCGTGTGGGGTGTGTGCACATGTGGACATCAGAGGATGACTTTTGGGAACTGGTTCTCTCCACCATGGGTTCCAGTGATTGAGTTCAGGTTGCAAGACTTGCAAGGCATGTGCTTTTTACCTGCTGAGCTATCTTGCTAGCCCTGCAATCATATTTTGATTTATATAGTTAAAACTTTAAAGTTTGAAATTTAACACATAAAATTGTGAGACTTGACACAGAAATCCAGTTTTGGGGTTTCCCTAGAGAATCAGAAGTTCCGGCCCAGTGGGAATGGTGGGTTGCCATTCCTGTGAAGCAGCAGTTGGCCAGAGCTGCTGCTGGTGGTGCTTGCTTACTGTGGCCAGCCCTCTCCAGTTCACTGTTTTTGTCTGTCTGCCTGTCTGTCTGTAGTGCTAGGGACTGAACCCTGTGCCTTGTGCATATTAGACAAGTGCTTTATTAGGACCCATACTCCCAGTTCCTTAATTTTTTTCTTTTTTATATTTTCCTTATGATTTTTTTCTTTTTTATGTATACACGTGTATTGCCTGCATGTATGAAAGTGCATCCATGTTGTGTAGTGCCCATGGAGGTCAGAAGAGGGCATTGGATTGCCCTGGAACTGGAGTTATAGTGTTAGCTGCCATATAGGTGCTGGGAATTAAACCCGTGTCCTCTGCAAGAGC